ATAATAAGCACACCTGATCCAACTTAGCTTCTGAGTCTTGACAAGGTTGGCTGGTGCTGCCACCTGCTGAAACAATTAGATTTTTAACATTTAATTCACCAGTTTGATGTCCTCCAAGTGAAGGGAAATTTTAGGATTCTAATCTTAACACACTCAGAGGGCATCCTGTTGGAAAAGGCTGAGAAACATTTTCAGTGCAGGAGACTGAAATCTAATTTTAATGTTTCAGCTTCATGTGCTGAAACTCTAAGTGGTCTTCTCCAACCTGCTGTTTTCAGGAAGTATTAGATGTACCATAGTTAGAAATCTTCAGCAAAGACATAAACTAATAAATATTATTCTTAAATATTCAATAGTTTTTCTGAGAAGTGGCCTAGAGTTCTCAAATGCATGTTTCTTTATATTTTTATCAAACAGAGCTTCAGAAGTTCTTTGAGGAATGCTTTGAAAGTTAAACAGGTAGAGAATGGCTGCTGCTTCCCATCTCCCATGAATTGCTGGAGCCATCATTAGATAATAAAGCAGAAAGAGTCGGACTGCTGTCCTGTTGCATATATCTATCATGAAGCAGAAAGGAATAGAAGCAATGGCTTGATGGCCATGACAGTGACCTGCACTTCTAAATCATCATAAGATTTAAGACACCCAGAAGTCTGCCGGAATGCATATAGGATCCTAGAATCTAAAGCAGGGACCAGAAACATGTGCCTCTTTCCCAGATACTGCTGAGCTACAACTTCCAGCATTCATAATGCTAGAGTTGCTGTGAGTTGGTCCATCAGCATCTGGAAAGTTACAAATTATTTGTCCCTGGTCCAGAAATTTCAAAAAGCTAGGGAGGCAAATGCAGATTATTCTTTGTGGCTGAAGAAAACTTGGTTCTGGGGAAAAGGATGTGGGTTCCATAAATCTCTTTCTTACAGGAGAGGTCATCAGCAATGGGATACAGATTTGGTATGTAGAAGATCAAGACCTCACCTGGTATGTCATGACATTACTGACATTAAGAGCCCCTTGAATGGGGCAGGTGGAGAAGTAGCCCACATTTGTATAAGCCATTGTCTTCCACTCTGTTTTTCCTGACATTTGGGGAGAAAGGTGAATACATGAGGTTCAAAAATACAAGTTTGAAGCAAAAGTGTATTGTTTCCCATCTTCTAGTGCAGTAAAATGTTATTTCCAGCATGATAAACCACTATTGGTAGGAAATTTGTAAATGACTTTGGCCACAAGTCATTTGTGCGTGTGCGTGTGTGTGTGTGTGTGTGTGTGTGTGTGTGTTAAATGTCATGATGAAAGAGTTACACAAAGGATTAGGGCATTAAGACTTAAACTTCAGTGGAATGATCTTCCCATACCCATGCAGAATTCCTAAACTATCCTGCAAGTGGAATACATCTGTGGGATGCACCAGATTACATTGTATAGAAAACAGAGATAGAGCATAGCTGCTTAGGAACTGCCAGATATGTCCAACTTATATAATAAAAAAAGGATGCTAGAAAGCTCAACAAGTTCTTCTAAGATTTTGCTCATTTTATTACGGATGAGAGAAAGTATGGGCAATAAACCCATGTAAAGGTATGAAACAACTACTTATTTCTATATCATGCTTTGCATGATTACACATTCTGAGCATGTAAAGTCTTATTTACATCTAGCTGATAAAAATAATTCTTCCTATACTTATTTGGGTGAGGAATGTTAAATTCACACAAGCACAGAACTTAAGAGAGAATTTTTATAAAATGTTTTATAGATGGCACCTTGATCCAAAGAAAATGTCCATTATGTACCCTGATCTACAGCCTAAATGTTGGAGATGTGGTTGTTTGGACGCTACTTATTTTCATATTTGGTGGTCGTGTAAAAATATAAAAGCCTTTTGGATTAAGATATGGTGGAATATTCAAAGAATTTTTAGAAGGAGGGTAAAATTTACCCCGCAATTATTTTTATTAGGTATTATTACTGACTGTGATGCTAAGGAAGTTATACTGATGCTAAATTTGATCACAGCCGCTAGGCTGTTAGTTGGACAATATCGGAAGAAGGATTCTTTGCCTACTTTACAATAGTGGTTTTATAAAGTTTCGTATTTGGCAGAAATGGCAAAGATTACGGCTTTCTTAAAGGAGCAATCTCAAGAGAAATTTTTTGTTGTATGGGAAAAATGGATAAATTTTATCCAACACAATTTGAATATGGAAAAATATTATTTAGCTTTTTCATAATTTGTATTGATTGCTTTTTTTTTCTCTCCTTTTCTTTTGTTTCCGTCTTATGAACTTTTATTTTTTTTCTCTCTCTCTTTTTCTTCCTTCTTTTTCTCTCTCTCTTTCCTTTTCTTTTTTTTTCTCTTTTTTAAGTATTTTTTTAATGCTTATATCATATATATATATTATTAATTATTTTATAAGTTGTAAATGTTGTTTAAGTTTTTTTTTTAAATTTTAAATAAGCCTATATTCAGTTCTGGGAAGTTTGGGGAGGGGGGAGGGAGGGGTGGGTTTGGGAGGGATTGGGTGAGGGTTGTTGTTTATTTGTAAAACTTTTAAAAATTTTCAATTAAAAAAAAATAATAATTCTTCCTATATATGTTGAGCACATGTGGGTTTGATCACATTTTGGGTATAATGGATTGAATATTTAGAGCAGTTTGTGTGGTTCTGTTAGTTTTTGAATTGTGAGATCTTCTGTACTGTGTGTACTCTGTCACTTGCTTCTGAAATGTATGGATGTTCCATATTATAGGCATTTTCAGACCAAGTGCATATTCGTCATTGCATTCTTTGCACATACATCAATTAAAAATAAGAATCAGTACATATTTAATGGAATATATTTTCAATTGTCAGTACTGATGTGCCATTCTACAAGCTTTATAAATGTCAGAAATATAAGTGTAGAGTCAATCTTCACTGGAGAGACCTGGTCCAATGCGCTTCTAAAAAAGACCTGGATCATTATTAACAAAGGGTAAAAATCAGTTTTTGTTAGAGAAATGGATCCGAGACTTGTCCCAATCTATACTTGACATACTACTGGCAAGAGCAGAGTTCATGCTTCACATGGAAATTCTAACAGCAACAGCTTCAGTTATAAGACACTATTTTAAAATCCCAAAAAGCTTCTCCCAGTATTGGCTAGATAGATCAAAAATGCTATCTGGGGCTATGAACTGCATTCACATTATTGGAACATACCGTAGATCAGTGGTTCTCAACCTATGGGTTGGGACCCCATTTGGGGTCGAACGACCATTTCACGGGGGTCGCCAAACAACGCAGTCCGCCATTTTTCCCCCTTTTCCTTAGCTGTGCTACTCCCTTTTATTCTATTGGCTTTTGAAAGCCAATAGAATAGACTCTCTTGAATAGAGTCTAACTCTATTGGCTTTCAAAAGCCAATAGGAATTGTCCAGGCTGTCTCTGCCCTGCTGAGCCCGCCAAAAGTCCCATTCTGCAAACGTTGCTGCACCAGTTAGTAGTCCTCGACTTACGACCGGTTGAGTAGTCCTCAACTTACGACCGGTTGGGGGTCGCGGCATTAAAAAGGTTGAGAACCACTGCCGTAGATCATTCTTGGATCAAGAATATCCAATGGTCTTTAGGCAAGGCCAAATTGTTTCTGAGGGATTAAGGGGGAGAAGAATGGAAGGCCAGGTCAGTATGTCTTGCAAACAATCTTGCTGTTTTTAAATCAACAGTTGTCATCTGTCGGAGTGACTAAGCAGGTGTGTTTCAAAATAAAAGCTTTCAGGATCCTGTCTGCTTGAAAATGATACTTTTTGTCTTGGAAACCTGCTGTATTGCATTACACTGGAGTTGTTTGAGTTTACTTGTTCCCACTGTAAGTCACCTTTGGATATACTAAACATATTATTACTGTCATTCTTAAATATCACAAATGGGAAGAGAGGCTGAAAATAAGAGTTTAAATCTTCAGCTGCCATTTATAAGCAGTGAATGCTTATTTAGTAGAACTTTTTAACTTGGGTAAAGTACTATTTAAGTTCCATAAAACAATCTGAACGAACCAGATCTTCTAACCTGCAAGATCATATGATAAGCTATATACCAGTGGTGGCGAACCTATGGCATGGGTGCCAGAGGCGGCACTCAGAGCCCTCTCTGTGAGCACCCGCACCGTCGACCCAGTCCTAGGTCTTCAGCTGGGTTTTATAAAACCTTTTTGCTTTAGGCCTCCGTCGCCATGTACAAAAAAAATGGTTCAATCAATCAATTTCAACTTCTCGCGGGAAAAAAAAGATCTTGCAAAATTGGAATTGATCGAACTTTTTAGTCCCATCCAATCTGCCATTACCACCACAGCCATATCCACCCAATGGGCCACACCCACCCGGTATCTGACGATGCATAAGTGGGTTTTGGGTTGCAGTTTGGGCACTCGATCTCTAAAAGGTTCGCCATCACTGTTACATAGTATATGTGCCTGCAGTAGATGATAAACTTCATTCTGTTATCTTGCCTTGGAGCTCTGTTGCTTTTCTCACCAAAAAAACCCCCCCTAAAATGCAAGTATCCAAAAGTGAAATATGCAGTTATGTACATTTTTGTGGATGGCAGCTATCATAACTCGATGGGTCTGTAAACTGCTGGAGGTACATGGATACCAAGAGCTTTATGAAGATAAGAATCAAGACAGCGGAGAGGTCTGAGAAAGGAAGTTACCTCCTGCCAACATTCCTGGAAGATCTTGACTTTGGCACACTGTGGCTCTCTTCTTCCCTCTCCCCTTTTCCCTGGCCTTTTTCTCGGTCTAGTTCTCTCATCCCTGGTTTTGTTTTCCTCCTTCTCCTCCCTCCCGGTCACCCACCCACCAACCCATTTTCCTTCCTCTTTTCTTCCCTCTCTTTCCCTTTTCTCCTTCTCCTCCGGTTTTAAAGATAGTGTCTGATGCAGCGCTGCGGGGGATTGTACCCGGATTGGCTGGGCCAGCATTTCAAAGGCCAATCGGCTGGTGGAAAAGATGGAAGGAGTATTATGCTAATTGGGAGAGAGGGTCCCGCCCCTCTTCCCTGCCGTACTAGGGACCGTAGCTGCCTGGAGAGAAGTGAATGGCAAGGAAAGGTACAAAAGAGCGTTGAACTGGAACGAGGAGCTCAAGCGCCGGCGGAGAGCGCGCTTCCCTCGGCCCCGGGCAGAGCTCTCCTCGCCTGGGTCTCTCCCTCTCTCTTTCGGCGAAGAATTCCCCGTCATTTCGTCAAGGGCTTTGAGAAGAGCCAATTGCAGCCCACCTTCTCTCCGGAGAGACTTTCCCTCCCTCCAGACAGGAAAGCCGAGGGCGAACTAGCCTCAGACCGAACTCCTTCAGCAGATCTTTGGGAGAAAGTCGGGGATCATGAATCGGGCGAAGGGATTCTCCAGAGAAGTTTTCTTTGGCACGTCGATTTCTTTGCTCTGCGCTGGGACACTGGTTTGCCTTACCGAGGCGAAAGGGACATATTACCGCCATCCTCTGCCTGTCTCTTATGGCAACAGATACAACCTTTATACCTCAGGATCTAGCCCTCAGCTCACTCCAGAGAAGCCCCTGGCGAAACATAAGTAAGGCATCTTAATTTGTTTGCGCGTTCTTCACTCGGTAATCAGGTATTATGTTACCTTCCCATCAATTTTCCAAGACAGCTTTGGTGTTTCTTATCCATTTCTCATCCTAGTTTGCTTCTGGTGGTTTGTCAATTTCCACTCGGGGGTCAATTTCATTTGACCCAGAGGATTTCCCCACCCCTACCCAGATCCCCGTATTACTACCGAGGTATATGGATTGGGGAGCGGGTTCCACATTAAAAGGACGACGGGTAGAAAGAGAAGTAGATGGTTTCCACTCCCTTACGTGGGTTTCTTCTGGGACTTACTTCTCTCCCCCACCCCACTGCCCGCCCCCATAGCGCTCCTCCTTGCCTTTTCCCCAAGATCACAGAACTGCAGAATTAATAGGGATTTTAACAATCTGGAATGCTCCGCGAAAGGGCTGGAAGAACGGTTTGGTTTATTGAATAAGCGTGCATTTCATTTTATTTTCGTTTGCTCCAAGCGTACACAGTAAACCGGGGCCCGCTATTTCTGGACGAATTTAAGGCAAGAAAACCAAGAAGATGCAAATACTGCGAGAGAGAAAAAAAAAATCTCGCCTGCCCTGCAAAGTTCTGGGCTTTGCATACAAGAGAGCCAATCCATAAAAAGGGATTTATTTCCCCTCTGAGACACTCGGAACAGGTCGGGATGATGAGCGCGCCAGGGAGGGAAGGAGGGAGGGTGCGGGTTATTCGTTCCCAGGCCAGCCCGCTCTCCCACCCGGGTACCCTTTCTCCAGTTCAGGGGCAAGGAATTTTCCCTCTGAATTCCTCAGGCTGAGCGCGCCTTCTCGCTCGCTCGCTGGAGAAAGGGCGGAGAGGCGAGGGCGTGCCCGAAGGGGGAGGAACCGCGGCGCTTTCAGCTACAGACCGACATCACCTGCTTTGGCTCCCGGACAAGGGTGGGGGGGATGTGGGGCTTCCAGGCAGGTAGATGGTGGATGGCCACATAGCGAGCCCACGCGCAGAAACTGCTTGGGGAGAATCGTAAAAAAGGCTGGCTACAGAAGGAACAATGCATTGTAAAGAGTGAAATAAATCCCCCAAATAAAGCATCTAGAACACGGGTATCAAACTCGCCGCGTGACGTGAGCATTGCCGGAGCTGGGCTGGGCGCAGCCTCCACATGATGCAACCGGCCCGCGGGCTGGCAGCTGGACATCCCTGATAGTCTATCTAGAACAACAGGACAGGGTGCAGCTGCTCTCCAAAGTTAAAGAATTTGTAGAAATTGCAAAAGGGGAAAAAAACCTGTGATAAGCAGCATAGGCACCAGTGGACTCCCGCATGCCTAATTTCATTGTTAGATCCCTTCTTTCTTGCAATAGCTAGAGAAAGTGTGTGAAGCACTTCCCCCACCCTCCTATTCTTCTGCACCAAAATAACCTCTGTAAATAGCAATAGCGCTTAGACTTATATACCACTTTATAGCCCTCTCTAAGCAGTTTACAAAGTCAGCATATTGCCCCCAACAATCTGGGTCCTCATTTTACTCAGGATGGAAGCCTGAGTCAACATTGAGCCCTTGAGAATCAAACTGCTGGCAATCAGCAGAATTAACCTGCAATACTGCATTCTAACCACTGCACACCATGTCTCTTAAGGATAGGATGGATGAAAGAGGGCCTATGTTAGCTAGTCTCTCTGGTTCCACTCCCATACTTTAAGCATTTGGCAGGAACTGGCTGAGTAATTTTTGGGAGCTAGTCTGCAACCCTAGCATCAGACTAATCGGTTCATGTGTCCCCCACATTTCTCTGTGTAACTTGCCTTCCCTATTTCTGAGGATGCTGCATGGAAATTTCAACTAAGATTGGAGGCATGAGTGAAAAGCACAGGCCATATTCCTGCAACTATTCAGGATCCTGCTACCGTATTAATGCTGTTATATTGTAATTCTGAGAAGGTTTATTTATTTAATTTAATTTGTCCAGAGTTGATTTGGCTAGTGAGATGGGCAACATATACATTTAATAAATAACACTGCTCAAAATTACAGTCTAACATTAACAGATAGCACATATTAATGAATGATGTGTGTGTGTGTGTGTGCCTTTGACTCTTTGTTGAATACTGCCCATTGCCTGGACCTATAGTTTTCTTGGCAAGATTTCAGATGTAGTTTGCCATCTTTCTAGTGCTGAGATATAGTTACTGGTCCAAGGTCACCCACTTTCTAGTCTGACATCTTAACCCAGGGGTGTCAAACTCAATTTCATTGAGGGCCGCATCAGCATTGCGGTTGCCCTCAAGGGGCCAGATGGGTGCGGCCAGGGTGGGTGCAGCTTACTGGGTGGGCATGGATGGAGTGAGTGTGGCCAGCTCTACATCGTTTGCGTCAAGGGTACCTGTGGGGTTCTGGGCAGGAGTGGGACAGATCTGAGGGTCTCTGGCAGAAGGGGATGGGACTGGGGCAAGCGCCAAGGCATGGTCCATTTCTTCATTCCTCACAAAGGGTGACACCTCCCCAGCATGCACCCAAGAGGCGGGGCTGACACAGGAGGGGCTGGTTCCTTGCTGTTTCCAGATGGCTGTGTGGAGCTAAGACTGAATGCGTTTCAGCATAGATGGCCACCACAAAATTGTACATTGGCTCCCAGCCAGCCTGGGCCAGGGCCAAGGCAGTGGGGGCCATTCCCTCACTGTTTCCAGGATGGCTTCGCGGGCCACATGAAACCACTTCGCGGGCTGTATCTGGCCCCCGGGCCTAGTGTTTGACATGTCTGCTTTAACCACTGCACCATACTGGCTCAAAAAATGCTTATTTCTGTTCAGTTGATACTGATGGATATTTATTTCAAGCTTAGGATACATTTCTATATCAACTTATTTACTAGGAGCCAATCCCTTGAACTCAGTGAGACATATTACTATGTAGGGTAGAGTTTTACATAGGCTTGCACTTTTCATTTGTTCCAAAAATCTATTCTTTTTCTCAAACGTAAAGCATATCATTATTTACAGTATTCTTTTTTTCAAAAAGGCAAGCAAAAGGCTTGCCCAGATTTCAATGAAAGTCGAAAAATGGGGAGGGGGTAGATGGAAGAGGATGGATTTTTTTTTAGCAAAGTTTTGAAGGACTGCTGACAGATGTATTCAAGTGTGAATTGCAAATAGTTGCTTATTTAGGTGCATTTATTCTCTTTGCATTTTATACCAACCCCTGAATGAGATTGATCCACTTTTTTTACAGCCTCACCTCTATCCCTCTGAAGTGCTACACAGAGATCTTTGAAAGAGGCAGGCTATTGTGTGGGTGCATAGAGGCTGAAAGACAAGGGGACATTGTCCAAAAATTGGATGGAGACAACTTTTGTGTGTGAATCTTCATTGATGAACTTATTTTTCAGTGATCCCATTTCTCTGGTTAGTACACTCCAGCAGAGTCCTTTGCTTGTGTAGAATTAGAGTGAGAAGAAAGATTCCAAACATCCCTAAATCTTGAGTCAGCAGGTTTATTTTTTAATTTTAATGTAGCAGCATTATTAGTTCTGCATTGTTAGAGTTACATTATTATTATTATCATCTATTCATTCAACAAATTCCATAATTTTTAGACCGGTATTTTCCAATGATTTGTGTTCCAAGAACCTAAGCATCCTCCTCCTCCTCCTCCTCCTTCTCCTTCTCCTCCTCCTCCTCCTCCTCCTCCTCCTCCTCTTTATCTGTTTGACATACAAAGCCAGTTAACTTTAAATAACAATCTGCTATTAGCATGAAGAATAAATGAAGTGGGACATATTCTTGTGCTCCTGCAGAATAATCACAAATTGGCTGAAGTGAAATTGGGGTCAACAATTTCATCCAGAAATGGCAATCCTGAGAGAGAGGCTGAGAAATTTTGATTTTTCCTGAGGCCACACAATAAAACTGAAAATTAAAAAATGATGTGAAGCAAGTAGATAGAGCAGATTCCCCTCTTTCCATAATACCACGAACTTGGGGTCACCCAGTGGCAAGAGATTCAGGACAGACAAAAGAAACAGTGTCACACGACCCATAATTAATTCATGGAATGTACTGCCAAGGAACATTATTGGACTGTATTCCAACCTGTCTATTAGGCTAAAAAGTTCAAATCAGGTTGATTTGCTTCAGAATGTGAGCTTTCTTAATGAAGAAAGGCTTCACCATGCATTAAATTGTGTGAACCATCCCCCTCCATCCCCATAAACCACCACAAGGCATCTTCTGTTAGTTCAAAGGCCTGGTTTTACATCAAAAGTGGGCACAACCAAGGCCTATTTTGGGAGAGGGTTTCAGAAGATTTAAGGGGTCAAACAAAGCCCCAAATGCAAAAGAAACAAAATACAGGTAGTTTAGTGACTGTTCAAAATTGCAACGGCGCTGACTTATGACCATTTTTCATACTTATGATCATTGTAGCATCTCCATGGTCACATGATTTACATTTGGATGCATGACAACTGACTCACATTTGTGATGGTTGCAGTGTCCCAGAGTCATGTGATCCCTTTTTGCGACCTTCTGACAAGTCAGAACCAAATTCATTTAACAACCGTATTACTAATTTAACAAGTGCAGTGATACATGTAACAAATGTGGCAAGAAAAGTTGTAAAATGGGGCAAAACTCACTTAAGAAACTTCTCACTTAACACCATAAATGTTGGGCTCAATTCTGGTCATTAGTTGAAGACTACCTGTATTACCAGCTCTATCCATGTTGGATGGCCCATAAAACGGATGTTAGAGAAACTTGGAACATGTGAGCTAAACCTTTGGCACCCCTGCCATAAGCCAAATGCCTTCTGAATATAAAGCATAATAACTCTTGCTACCAGTAGGATAGTAGGATATTATATTTCATTATGGAGGAAGGAGTTGCAGGGAATTGTTTCTTAGCACAGCTTAGAGCGCATGAGGCTGAATGGAAAGCAAAAATTTTAATGAAAGACAAAATAGCATATCCTAAGCAGATGCTGGTAAGAGCATCTGGAATATGTGTTTC